AGGCCCAGACACAGAGACAAGCTGTCACAGGTGGGGAAACCAGGCCCAGATGCAGAGATACGCTGTCACAGTTGCAGTGTTTGGTGGCCTCGGCAGGAACATCAGGGCCCCGGAGCCTAACTCCTGCTGTTTTGTTGCACACAGATGCAGGAAGCCAGGGCCGGGGCCTCACCGAGAACGCACAGTTAGCCTCAGGTTGGGAATGTTCAGGCCCCTGCAGAACGTCCAGACCTTTAAGCCTCACACTCATCTATTCTCTCCTTGCTGCTTTATGTTGTTCAAGGTTCTCCTCACTGATTGATACACCGAAGACTTCTCATCTGTTTCGCCTCGCGTCTGTCTCCCCCACGAACCTCTGCCACTCTGTCATTGCTCTAGCATCAGCCCCTGCCATGTGCCTGCCCATGAAATGCTCAGTTCTTGTTGGGTGGAAGCCCACGCAAGAGCCAACGGAAATGTGATGTTCACACCCATCCTACTGGGAGGAAAACTGAGGTTTGGGGAAGGGCAAGGACTTGTCAGAGACTCCCACCTCCAGCTGGGCTCCCAGAACTTTCCAGAAGCCACAGCGGAGCTGGGGAGAACAGAGCAGGGCAAGCTTCCACCACCACGGCCTCCCTCCTCCACAGCTGGAGCGTACCATTCTCCACAGTGTCCATCCCGCAGGACTTCCTCAAGTGGGTCTCCAGAATCTGGCACTCAGTGGCCCGCCAGCCCTGGGCTGCTGTGGTCAGCCGTGGATCAGGGCTGCAGCTGAGGGTCCCCATGATGAGCAGGTGAGGAACCGCAAGGAGCACACGGGCCAGGCAGCACCCACACCTGGTGCTGTCTCCTCCGCAGCAGTAGCTCTGGGCCGCAGGTCCCGGCACTGTCCTCAGTCCTTGCAGCTTGTGCTGATGTTGGCAGGGCCCTGGCCTCACCACACACCCCCCGGAGACTGCACAGACAGTCCCTTGTCCTTCAGCAGAGTCTTGGCCCTGGCCCTAGCAGGCCGATCAGCGGACGCTGGCCTGGAAGTGGGGCCAGGATCGAGTGTCGGCCTGGGGCTGGATAGTCCAGGAAAGAATCCTGTGTCAGCAGAGCGGGTCCCCAGGGAGCAGCCAACCTGGGCAGCCAGGGCCAGAGAAGGCTCCAGAGAGCCAAAGCCATAAACACAACACCTACAGCCTTGTAGCAGAAGGGACTGGTGAGGTCTTGGGCAGTGTGGCCCCATTTCTACAGCTGGGGAAACTGAGGTGCAGCACAAGGTCATACAGTGAGTTTGCCCCTGTATGGGAATTGCAACTTCAGGCCAAGAAACTTGCCTACCTGCCTGCTTGCATTCCTTCCCTCCTTCTTCCCTTCATCCAATGTGCACTTATTGAGCACCTACTGCATACTAGGTTCTGTTTGGGTTGGCAGGACACGAAGGAATAGACAGATGAGGAGCTGATGTTCTCAGTAGGGGGCAAAGGAAATAAACAATGAATTAATAAATGAGCAAATAGTATATAAGAAGGTGTTAAATGTGCTAGAAAACACAAGGCCAGGCTGGGAGCCCTCGATGGCAGCGCAGGTGCAGGCCAAGTGTTGGGGCAGGAGGACAGGTCACTGAATTGAGAAGGTGAAAGGAGAGCATGTCTTAAGGGAATGGCCGTGCAAAGGCCCTGGGGCAGAGGCAAAGATGGCAAGAGGGCAATGGCGGTCCTCCAGGACAACCCACGGCCTCCCAGAAGCCAACAGAGATTTACCCCCCAACTAGAGTTCATTTCTCTGCCTGCACTAAAGGCAACCGCTGTGTCAGGCTCTAAGAATTCAAATTCCTATGTCTTCCATGTGTGTCGCTGTGTTGCCAGGCCGTTTTGCACTGTCACCTTTAACAGCTTTATTGAGTGACAATTCACATATGATGCAATTCACTCCTCGATGTAATTTTAATACATCCTATAGTTTTTTAACTTTTTAATCAAAATGTTAAAAAGTTCATGAAACGAGTCTGAAATGTTTATATTAGAAAAAAGGGGGGGGAAGAAGAAAGATCTTAAAACCAGTGACCTCAGGTTCCACCTTAAGAAGCTAGAAAGAGAAGAATAAGTGGAAGGGAGGAAATCAAAGACATAATAGTAGAAATGCATGAAATGGAAAACTGTAGAAAGAATCGACAAAGCCCCTCCCCCCAAAAGCTGGTTCTTTAAAAAGATCAACAAATTTGATAAAGCTCAAGCTAGAATGACCAAAAAACAATGAGAAAGAACATAAATGACCAATATCAAGAATGGAAAAGAGACATCATTACAGACCCACACGCCTTAAAGGGATGATAGAGTCCATGTGAAGCTACCAGCAGAAAAACTCCCATCCTTTTTATGCTCAGGCACCTCATGTGCATCATGTTGGTTAATTATCTCAGCATCCCATTGAGGGAAATGCTGTGGCTAAACCTCATTTGTGGTCATAGATAGGGAAACTGAGGCTCAGAGAGGGGAGGTGACATGTGCATGTCCCTGAGTAACTTAGCAGCTAGAGCCAGGAGTTGAATCCAGGACATTCTGACTCAGATTTTAGTTCAAAGTTTAGGGTCAAGGGCTTCTCCCAAACTCTAATCCCAGCTCAGTGTTCTGGGAGTGCTGAAAACCCACTGTGGACTCCTACAGCCCCAAAGATAAAATCCAAGCCCTCGCTGGCACACAAGGCCGTGCCAGGCACAGTCTTGGCCCTCCTCCCCTCTGCCCTGGCCTCTGATCCTTCAGTCCTCACTCATTCTCCTCTGGTCACAGTAGCACTCTTATTCCTTGAAGCCACTCCAACCAGGTCCCACCTCAGAGTGCCTACTTGAGCTCCCTCCACCTGGGGCACCTTGGCCGACAAACCAGCCCACAGCCAGCTCCTTTCTCAGTCACCTCTGGGCCCCCCAAATTGGACAAGCCACTTGCTTCTTTCCAGAAGCAGCACAAACCTCAGCACTGTGAACAGAACTAGGCATTGATGAGGGAGACAGGAGGTAAATACCCCAACCTCCTCCTCCTGCCAATCAGTCTGTCCCACTGACCAAAACTGGCCAGAAGTGCAGGAACCCAGGGATACCATCACTGAGATCAGCCTCAAGGACCCAGGACCAGGCAGAGAAAGGACCAGGGTCCTGGCCGGAGGATGATCTTTCATCCACGTTCCAGCTGGGACTTGGCCCCAACTGCCTCAGTTTCCCCATCGTGACATGGGAAGAAGCGAAGCGCTAATGCGGGGTGGGAAACAGCCAGGAATGACTGCCTGAGGCTGAAGGGGAGGTTTTGGAGACCACAAGGTCCAGCAATATCACCAGACTGAGCTTATCCGAGAGATGCCCCCCCGCCAGCCAGTCCTCCAGCTGATCACACCAGCTTCCCTCCGCCAACTCACTTTCGCTCAGAGCTCCTCACCACCACCAAGTAATGGCATGTAAATGAGAAGCTAATTCTAAACCCAGGCAAATGAGCCATGTTTTTAATCCAATCTGCTTCATTGACAGAGGAGAGCAAATCAGCAAAATAGAACAAGGAAGCCTGGACTGGGATAGGGCACAAGGCTCCTGCCTCAGCAATATGATGCGGCCTGGGGGGGCCCAGGTGATGGACAGCAGGCTCTGGGCCTCAGTACCCCCAGAAGAGGCTGCAGGGACTGAACTGATAGCATTGATGCTCACAATTATCAATCCGACTGTTATTCATTTGTGTGCCAGGCACGGTTCAGGCGCTAGGAAAACAGGTGTGAACAAAACCCGTCAGCTCCCTTCGTCACCTTTTTGTTGAGAGAGACAAACGAGTGAGTGCGTTTTACATTACTTTAGACGGCAAAGTCATGGAGAAAAATCGAGGCCAAGAAGGGCTTGGAGGTGTGGGTAGTTGCAGTTTTGAAATGGAGTGGTCAGGGGAAGCCTCACTGAGAAGGTGACATTCAAGAGAGACCTAAAGGAGGTGAGGAGGGAGCCAGGGGATGGTCTGGGGAGAAGGCACAGCAGGTGCAAAGGTCTTGAGCCTCAAGTGCACCTAGCGTTCCGGAGGAACGGCGAGGAGACCCGTATTGGTTGGAGCGGAGTGAGTGATGGGTAAAGAGAGGGAGCAGGTCGTGCAGGGTCCCGGGAGAGGACTGGGGCTTTTACGCGCGCCGAGGCACCCGGGGCAGAGCTGGGGCTCTTCCCAACTCGGTGCTCACCAGCTCTGCCCAACTCTGTCCCGGGGAGGGCTGGGGCAGAGCAGGGACCTGCCCAACTCGGTGCTCACCAGCGCCCTCTGGCTGCCGCGTGGAGAACAGACCGCGGGTGGCGCCGGGAGGCGAGGAGGAATGGGATTGCGCTGGTGGGGCGGGGGGAGATGGGGGATGGAGGTGGG